CCATTGGACCTCGACCACCTACATCTAAAGGAGGAGATCCCGCTGCTCAATAACCAACAGTACGCCAGTTTGATTGGTGGGTTGTTGTACGTGACCATGTGTACTCGACCTGATGTTGCATTCTGGGGAGAAAACAAGTTGCCCGTCGCAGGTTGATTTGGTGGAGGTGAAGCGTATTCTGAGGTATCTGAAAGGAATCATCGACCACGAAATAATCCTGGGAGCCGATTCCACGCAATTGGAGCTACGTGTCAAACACCGGCTACTTGATCCGGTACGCAGACGGTATGATCGGATGGTGTTCCAGGAAACAAGATTGCGTAACTTTGAGCAGTTCGGAATCCGACTACGGAATCCAATGAGTTATGCTGGATTTTAAGGATATTCGACGATTTGGAAGTCCACACTCAGCTACCAATCACTGTGAACAAAAATAACCAAAGCGCCATCAAGCAACTCGAATACAGCTCTAGCGAACGATGTTCGAAGCATGTTGCCACGACTCGACACTCCAACAAACGAAATGATTTCAGATATGATGAAGAAGCCTCTTCAACGTATCTAGCAAACACGGTTCCGGGAGGCGGCCATGATTATTTCGTCGAGGAGGAATATTAGAGGTGAAAACCTAGCAAGCGACGAGTAATCACAATAGCCTGGAAATAAATATAGGATAGGTTTTTAATTAAGATTCATTCCAAGTGTGTCTACCATCCAGGTGAGACGACCGCTCATTGTGTGGATTGCTTTCTCACAGATTAGTTGGAAAAGAGTGTGTGAATTCAATGGGAGAACCACACACTCTTTGTCGAGCGTTGTGAGATGCATGTACAAAGTTGCTTTGCTAACGCTCTGAGGTGCTTTCCACCCTGCATCCAAGCGTAAGGCCGAGGCCACTAGGGCAAATCAGTGCTAAAATTTGAAAATGGCACAAAAGCCATTTGTAAACAAATGGTTTGTGGGCCCTTTACTCACTACTTGAAGTACACCCACGCGACACAACAGCAACATCGGGTAGGGGAAATTTTCCCCTTCCTGACGATGCTGTTGGTTTGCGTGGGCGTTCTTCGGGTAGCGAGTAAAGGGGCCACAAACCATTTGTTTACAAATGGCTTTTGTGCCGTTTTCAAATGTTAGCACTGAAATGATTAATTTTATCGAAATTGAAATTTCTCTTAAGTTTGCGCCAGCAAAGTCCGATTAGCATATTTTCCTGCCTTTCCCCGAAATTATAAAAAAAAAATCCCGGTTGAACGATGTATATTTGAATTAAGCATAAAACCAAACGCGATTGAGCCTAAAGGATCGGTAGGTTAGATAAGTCATTACAACGATAGCTAAATTTGTCTATGTACCAACTACCTTGAAAACTCGTATTATACTCTTCACATAATTTCGTTGGTATGTTCTCACGAATTATCGTCAAAATCATAACCACAAAGTTCTTTTCAAAACTAATTCAAAATAAATTTTAAAATCGCTTAGATTCACTTGAAATTTTCTTTATAACAGTTCAGAAATTCTAAGCAGGACACTCCTACCAAAATGCAATTCATCTTAAGATAAACATCGAATTTTTAATTATTCTTTCACAAATTTACGAAATTATTATATTGCCTGAATATGATTATAAAAAAAGCCTAATTATGTAATAAATTAGATTAAATTCTCCATAAAAATTTTATGTAAGTCACCATAGAGAAGTCTTGAAATTCTGTTCAAACCTGTCAATATTCTTCTCGGAGGTCCAGCCTGGTGTCATGTGCATCCCTACAAACAACCAAGACAATAACCTAATCGTAAACAAACAAAGTCATTTCCTTCAGCCTGAACAAAGTTCATAGCATCAAATTACAAATAATGCAATTGTAACCATATGCGTCGATTGCGCCACAACGTTAGCTCGACTGTCCGTATTTTCACTCGAGTTCTCGATTCGATTTTGTTTCGTTTAGTGCTGTCGCGTTGCGCCGTGGAAGTGTCGCCACCTTCTCGCGTTCTGGCAAGTTTACTTGAACCTGCAAACACGTAACAAATGGTGCGTAAACGTGCCAATGAGTCAGCAGCGGGCCCTTCAAAGAAGATGCTAATCAAGCCCAGCGCGTCGCAGGATGACGCCGGAAAACGAGAACTGCAAGCCAACCAGTATGCAGTACTCCCGGAAGGAAATGGCGATGGTGACACCGTTCTCATTGCAAGACGAGAGCGGATTCCCCCGCTTTTCACGCCGATGAAGAATGTTGCCAAGCTGGGTGCCGAACTGGCAAAACATAAGCTGCTGCCTCGCTTCAAGCTTTGCAGCATCGGTACCAAAATCATGTGCTCCAGCCTGGAGGAGTACAAACAAATAGGATGTCATGCATTTCACGAAGGGATCCACCAGTCTTGCAGCTCTGAGATCCAAAATCCGGGACCTGTTTCAGGTCATCATCAGTTGGGAGCATTACAAACTCCAACATCGTGATGTAACGCATTGTATGAACTGCCTCTCACATGGCCATGGCACCAAAAACTGCCACGTGAATACAAACTGCGGCAAGTGTGCTAGAACTCACTCAACTGCGTCCTGTGAGCAAGATGATGACATCGAGCCAATGTGTGTCAACTGCGGTGGAAACCACCAAGCCTCCAATCGCGGATGTCCCAAGCGAGTGGAGTTCATTAATAACCGTCGGAAGGCCACAATCAACTACCAGCTCGGTCGCCTCCGTAATCATCGTTCGCCTCCTGTACTCACGGAAGTCCAGTACCCAGCTCTCCAACCCCGTCGACATGTTCCGAACCTAACCCCGCTTCCGCTCAACAACCAACAAGCCAATCCTGCGAGTATCCAAATGGTTCCCAACAGTCGGACAGTTCAGCATCGTCTCGCTGCTGCTGCAGCCCAGCCAATTCCAGGTTCATCCACCGCCCCTGGTTTATCATACGCTGGTGCTGTCGACGATTCTCCGTTCACCTCGGAGGAACTTGTGGCCGAGGTCATCATCATCATGCGCACCTACAAGACTCGATCTAAACACTTCATGCTGCCTTGTCACTCGTCACCAAGTATGAACTGTGAAGCTATAAAAATTGCAAATTGGAACGCTTGCTCACTGACGAACAAGCATAGAGAGCTACTCGATTTCCTCAACACCAAGGAGGTCGACATTGCTATCATCACCGAGACGCATTTGAAGCCCGAACTTAACGTATGCCTTCCCGACTTCCGGCTCGTCAGACTTGATTGCACCTGCTCTGGAGGTGGAGGAGTGGCCATCGCTGCAAGACGGAACATCAGTTGCCGGCTGCTACCAGACTTCCAGCTGAAAACAATTGAAGCCATCGGAGTGGAGGTGAGTACATCACTTGGCCCAATCACCATCATCGCGGCCGACTGCCCCAAGCAAACCAACATCAGGGACGGGTCGTCAGTGGCCCTCCGGAAAGACATAATCAAACTCACCCGGAGGAGCGGGAACTTTATCATCGCTGGCGATCTGAAGGCAAAACACCAAGCTTGGGGCAACGGTCGGAGCAATAGAAACGGCATCATCCTCAATGAAGACCTGCAAGAGGGCCACTATACCATCTTGGCCCCGGACTCTCCCACCCGGTTGAGTCGGTCTGGGGTCCATGCGACCATCGACATCTTCGTAAGCAACATGGGACACAACGTCTCGCAACCTGTGGCATTCCAGGAGCTGAGCTCGGACCACTACTAAGCTTGCTGTTTACAAACAAATCATCCTTCCTGTAATCGAGTACGGTATGCCAATCTGGGAGAGTTGCGCAAAATGTCGTCACCTTGAACTCCAAAGGATCCAGAACAAGATACTTAGGATGGTCCTAAACAGTCCCTGGCAGGAATTCAGACCTTTGAAGAACGGAGAGTATTCATCCTGGAAAGGTTCAGAGACACCTGTCTGAGATGAAATCATCAGATCATACGGGATCTAGCACGTTAGGTTAAGTTATACTCGTAGTTAGGTAGGTTATCACTTTTTTTCAATTCAAATAAAACACATCCCTGAAGGGGTATTCTGTAAACTAGTTGAAAAACGCAAATATTAAATTAGAATATCAAATTAAACAAAGATGAAGAGCCAGGTAGGCTAATCAATTAATATGATAAATCAATGTACTACCAATGTACTAAACAGAAATAAACATAATTTTACTACTACAACATACACACACCCATTTTATCGATCAGCAGTCAAACTCCCTTTACTGCGGTCGTTACTGGTAGATAATTTTTATTAGTCTGGATAAGTTTGGATACCGCATGAACAAAGAAAGCCCTTCTTCCATTTGAAGTCTGCTCGATCGAAAAATGTGATATTCAAACCTGCTACACTGGGTTGTAGGGCTGGAAACCAACCGGAATATGGCGAAGTTGAACAGTACGTTCAGGCTCATGGCTATGCGAGTCGTGAGCGCGAACAGAACCATCTCGGCGGAAGCACTATGCGTTATCGCCGGAATGGTCCCTATCGGTATCACTTTGGTGGAGGACAGCGAATGCTACAAGCAGAAAGCAACCAGAGGAATACGGAAAATGGTGAGTGGAATCGATTGCCAACTGGCAGCAGGAATGGGACACGGCAGAGAACTGTAAGTGGACACAAAGGCTTAAGCCGATTCTCTCCATCTGGGTGAACAGAAAGCATGAAGAGATTAACTTCCACCTGATGCAATTCCTATCTGGTCATGGTTCGGACACGGAAGGTTACCCCTTTGTCCCAAGTGTCCTAGATTCGAGGCAGTGCGAACGGAGCTCCCTGCCCTTAACGTGGAGAATGTCGTCGATGAAATGTGCCGAAAGCAGGGTACCTGGAATGACATCAGCAGGATGGAGAGATGAGCAACAATCTCGGAACGTCATTTAGCGCTGAGCCTAAGAGAAGTGCACGAGCATAGCCCAGCGAAAGTGAAGAAACGATAAGCGAACTAGCAGTGCATGAACATCGGTGGTTTTACGTTTGTGTGCCTGGTACGTAGCAGTAATAGGTACTCACTTCGGCTGCAGTTGCTCCAGCTTGGGAATGTTGGTGGCATGCGTCTGTTTCCCCGAGGCTTCCAGCGCGGCCAGCTCCATCGGATGTGCCTTCTTCTTGTGACTCCGACAGTTGGACCCATTAGCGAAGGTTTTCTCACAAAACGGACACTGATACGGTCGTAGTCCGGTGTGCAGGATCAGATGATTCTTCAACGCTTTTGATCGTTTGTATTCGTTCCCACAGTACTGACACTTGAATCTCTTCTGGTCCGAATGCACAACCATGTGCATCTTCAACGTTCGTTTTGTGTTCAGCTGAAGACCACAGTGGGGACACACGTACAGAGTGTCATTATGGATGTCCTCGTGAGTCTAGAAAAGGAATGTTTCAATGTTAGATGATGATTCATTTGATCAAGGGACATGAAATACTTTTAAACGAGGGAGATTTTTAAACTTTTTGGGGCAATGGGCACACTGGTATGGTTTATCATCACTGTGGGTAATTTGATGCTCCTTCAAAGCACCCTTGGTTCCAAATGCCTTTCCGCATTCTTCGCAAATGTACGGTCGCTCCCCTATATGAACAGCTTTTATGTGAGCCTGTACGTTGACTAATTTGCTGAATCTATAAGTGGAAAATCAAGTTGAGTTTAAATTTAATTCCACAATCCTACAAAAAGGTTACTTTTTATCACAATATTTGCAAGCATGAACCAACTTTTGATCGCTTGGTAGATGTACCGATTCGTGCAATTTTGCTTTACGTTCCGATGGAAACCGCTTCGGACAAGCCGAACAAGCAAAGGACAGCTCTTTGGAGTCCGGATGCTTGTTCTGCAAATGCAGCACGTAAAGCGACCGAGTACGGAACGATGTATCACAGGTATCACATCTTGTTTTCTGACTAAGTTTGCCTCTATTGTTCGGAGATTTAGAGCTTGATTTTGGATGCATTTTCCGCTTGGCAACCTTTTTGGTTTGGTGCATTTCCTCCATTGCATCCGTTTCGCTTTCGGATCCTAGCTCTTCTTTGACATTGTAATCTTCGTCGTAGTGATCATCATGTTCATCATCGGAATCTTCATGCATTAATGGTACATTACTGTCTAGTTCGGTGAAACCCTCCATTGACAAAGATGTGAGAAGTCGATCATCTTCAACGATGTTTACCATCATATCATCCTTTGCACACTCAAAATCCTTATTGGATATCCTTACATCTTCTTTCGACGCTTGCTCTGCAAATAGCAAACCTTCAGACAAAACATCAGTGAAAAATGAATATTAGGACTTACTTTTTCGTTTACCAGTGGGAATTTTCTCAATCTTCAGCTCAACCAGCTCAGGTTCCACCAGGTCACTAGTATGCACTCCCTGGTCGAATGTAGTCGCCCCTACACATACATCCGGTGCAGCGGTCGGAACCAACCCGGAAACCAGCGACTTCTCTTCTGGAGCCTCGTCGACAGCCGTTAAAATGGAATCACTCATGAATCGAAATCGCAAATCCTGGACATCACTTTCTAGGAGTTCATCGTCCTCGGTACTGATTGCGCAAAGCTCCACCAGCATCTTGCTCGTCTGGAGGCACCGTTCCTTGAAACGCTCCAACTTGTTCACGAAGATGTAGCACTCTTCGCAGATACAAATGCACACATCGCTGAGTTCATGCAACTAAAATTCAAGTATTACATGATAAACTATAAAGCAACCATCCAGGAAAATGATAGTAGCGAATTTACCGAAAATTTGAAATGCCTCAAAGTGATTTCGTTGAGCTCGTCGAGCGATTCCAGCTTGAAAACTGCACACTCGTTCGCACACAAGCGGCACCAGTTTCTCCAGTTGCTCAACATTGCTGGGCACAACTAGCACAAACAGGGTACACTTTAAAACACAATAATTTAGAAACAATTTGGGCAAAATACGTAAAACATTGGAACAATCACAAAAATTCACAAATGTAAACAACTTTTCTAATCAGCGAATGACGTTTCATATTAACATCAACATCGCCCGCACAGAAATAGCGAGGGCTCACTTCGACCACGACATCAAGGGGTGGTCCGATTGACAAATTGCTGCGAAACTTTTCCTATCTTTTGCCACCTACATTTCGAAGTGTGAACCTAAGTGTGTACTGTGAACTACACTCTGCGTGATAAATTTCACGGACAATGAGGCCACTCAAATTGACTTGGATTCGACTCACTTGGGTTGTTGCATTTCGAAACAACATACTGGTTTGTATACATCATCTGAATGAGCTTTGGTTTCTGAACACAACTATATTTGTATCGATCCCATAGACATTCATCTCGATTTTTAAATCAAGATTTAAATTTTTAATTTTTGGCACTAAATACAGGGGCGCTAAGATGGTGATTTTTTATAATACAAACGCACTTTGATCAGTACCCGCTGATCATAATGAAATCTTTATTTTTGTAAATATTGTAATTGCGTTGGTTATTACCTAATGCTAATCTTAAGTCAAAAACTAAAGCTAAATCCTAAAACTAGTGAACTTACATTCACTAAATTACAACTAAGGGTCTGTTCATTAACTACGTAGACAGTTTTTTAGGATTATTATTATGAAATAAATATATGTTCTACAAAATTATACGTCAATCTATAGTTTTCAATCTTTGTATGCTAGAAAAATATAACATTGTGAATAAATTGTATGATTTTTTGGCGAACGCGTCCTCCATTAATAGAAACACTGTTCCAGTAGTTGTGGTAGTTGCTAACTTTGGTTCCTATAATAGTGGGTTGCATTGGTTTCTTATGGTAAAACCCACTTGGATCACTAACGCAATATAGGTGCAAAGGAGTGAAAATTTTAAGGAAAATTAATTATTTTTCGTCAACTTAGGGCTAATTTTGGGTTTGAAATATGCATATCTGCTTCCGGTTTTCCATTATTATTCCGCCATAGCCACCCTACCGCAACTATAGGTACACCCACCCAATTTGAACTTCGTTTTACGACCTTTACGGATCATAAAACGCTTGAATACATCTTTGAAGAGAAGTACAGAAATGCAAAGCGAGCTTGTTTACGAGCGCAGAGCTGGGTTTTACGCCTTCAGCTTTCAAATTAAGTATATTCGGGGAACGAGCAACATCTCAGATGTTCTATCTCGTTTGTTTACCAAGAAAGATGCACCATTTGATGAACATACCCAACACTTTCTCTGTGCGGTAGGGGTATCGCCGGCGGCTATCACACTTGATGAGATCCGTAATGAGACCTTACGTGATTCGACACTTACTGGAGTTATTGAAGCTGTGAATTCACAGTATTGGCCATCAAATCTTTTTCGATACCAGGCTTTCAGTAAAGAATTAGGATTAATTGATGATGTTGTGGGACGTGAGGACAGTATTGTATTACCACTGAAGCTACGTCGTCGTCCGACGTATTGCTACAATCCAGGGATGTCCGCGGTGTGCAATCTTTCAAGATTGTACACCGCGGACATCCCGGGATTTTAGCAATGCGTCGGAATTTACGACATTACGTATGGTGGCCATTAGACTGATGCAAAATTTGACTTTTTCGCTCCACAGTGCTTAAATGGTTTCAAATCGGGTCCTGATTAGCCTCTCAAAGTTACAACTCATTTGGTTAGAAACATACTTCGCACAAGCCATTTGAAGTTTACATGTAAATTACCATAGGAAATCTCAATTTTTTGTTCATTGCCTTCTAGTGTTTTTCCATATTGAGCTGCGAAACAGTTCAACAGCCATTCTAATAGAAAATTTCGTTTCTATGTAAAACGTGACAAGAAAAAGTTATTAATTATTTAAGAGATTGATAAACTTATGACATGATCAAGCAGCTGCTCTGTAGGCAACACTGTATTTTGCAGTGTGACATAGTAGCCATGATTTTTGTGTCCTATTCAACGCTCCAGAAACACCAATGTTGCCTGCTGAGCAGTTGATTGAGCATGATCATAAGACATCAGCGCATTGAACCATTGATAACTTTCGGTCCGTGCATTTAATCAAAAAGTGGTCTTTAGCAAAGTTGTAGCTGGGAAAATTTCCTACAAGTACAGTTGAAGCACAGACAAACAGACATAACACATTGAATATTTCTCACTGTAAAACATCGTCGCTAAAACATTACCGCCATCTGTTGAGTACACTCTGGTGAGCACTACACTGAACAGATGGCGGTAGTGTGTAAACGTCAAACGCAAGGGAATTGACTATGCGCGCCACAGGTGGCGGTACTACCAACTACGATACTTTTAAATTGTCCGTTAAATGCTTGTTCGACGAACAACTTGCAAGTGTTTGTCTGTTTGTCTGTGGTTGAAGGTTTTTGCAGCAGACCAATATGGTGAATTATTAGATAGACATGAACAAAAATCTTTGTTTTACCATAGTAATTCCCATACAAACTTCAAATGGTTTGTGCCATATCAGCTTCTCACCAAATGGGTTCAAATTTTGAGAGGGTAGCCAGGATCCGATTTGGAATAGTTTAAGTATTGTGGAGGGAAAATTTCAAATTTTGCATCACTCTAGTGGCCATGCATGGAAAGAGAAGTCTGCAGTGCTGTGAAGGAATGTGTGGGATGTACCGCTTTTAGTAGCTTAGGTCCACCTGAACCCATGAGTTGCAAGACAATGCCGGAAAGGGCTTGGTACGATATCGCCATTGACTTTCTGTCAGCCAAAGAGTTCGCTACGTTTTTAGTTACAAGTGGATGTTACAGCCGGTATCTGCATGTAGTGGAAATGAGGATCACGCGTGCGTGCAAGACATTGCACAAGCGCTTGATTGGATTTTCAAACACCATACATATCCCTATGGGCATTAGGTGGACGTTCCGAAGTGGAATTAACCGTGGGGAATTCGTAAACGCGTCAAAATAAAGTATAAATATCGGACTTGAAAAAACAACGTGTTTTTATTTCGCACTGTAACAAAAGGAATGAGGTTATACTTCAAAACACCGCCTGGCTGTCATTCTCTCTACTCGCCGTGTTGCCAATTTCTCTGATAGGGGTTCAGTTACTTCAGCGTCCCTGTTGTTCATTTGCCAACACTCCTCCTCGCTGATTCACTGAACAAGTCCTAGCTGCTTAGCAAACTGCATCATCTTGGTTGGTCCCAGTGGCTTTGTGAACACATCTGCCACCATCTCGTCGGAAGGACAGTACTCCAACTGTATGACTCCTCGTGAACACAAATCCTTCGCATGATGAACCTTCGTGTCGATATGTTTGCTTCGCTTATTTTGCTTCTCCAGAGACACAAAATCGATGCAGCTCCGATTGTCCTCGTAGATGATCGTTGCTTGGTTTGACACAACTCCCAACTCGCTCAGCAATCTACGCAACCATACAGCTTCGGATGCTGCCGCCGAAAGCGCCACATATTCGGCCTCCATCGTTGACGTGGTGACGCAATCCTGCTTCCTGCTCGCCCAGTTGACTACTGCTTCGCCGACAAGAAACGCATATCCACTTGTGGACTTGCGGTCTGCAGAATCTCCTGCCCAGTCAGCGTCACTATAGCCGGTTAGGGTCAGCCTCTTCGTTCGGTCACTGGAAAGCTTCAATTCGTAGTCTGCCGTACCGATCAAATATCGAACGACGCGCTTCAACTCTATCCAATCGCGCTGAGTCGGATTGCTAGACTTCCGACTAAGGATTGAAACTGCTACTGCAATATCCGGTCTTTAATTTGTCGCCAGGTATAGAAGTGCTCCCACCAAACTTTGGTATTGGATGTTGTTCGGCAAAGCTTCACTCTCCTGGTACTTCAGGTAACCTTGGTCCAAAGGAAACTTCGAGCTTTTAGCTCCTTCAAGACCGAAACGCACTGCTATTTCTCGAATAGATCCCTGTTGACTCAGAGAATAGAATCCCTGTTCGTCCTTACGAACTCTGATCCCCAGAAAATGGTTCACTGTTCCCAAACAGGAAATCTCGAATCGCTTGTGCAACTCCTGTTCCAGCCGGTCTAGCTGTTGCTTGTCTCTGCACGCCACAATCATGTCGTCTACGTAAAGTAGTAAGTAGACCCACTCTCCGCTGTTCAGCTGCTTCATAAACAAGCAGACGTCCGACTCGGACTGCCGGAATCCCATCTCCAGCAACACCTTCTTCACGGTGGAGTGCCAAACTTTCGCCGACTGTTTCAGTCCGTACAGGCTTCGGTGGAGCCTGCACACCAGTTCTTCCTTTCCAGGAACAGCGTACCCCGGAGGCTGCCGCATATACACCTCCTCTTCCAGCCGCCCGTTGAGATATGCGTTCCTTACATCAAAGTGCCGCACTTCCAAGTTCTTATGTCCCGCAACTGCCAAGAGAACTCGAAAAGTTGATTGCATCGCGACTGGAGCAAATACTTCTCCGAAATCTGCACCCAACCGCTGCGCGTATCCCTGTGCGACTAATCTGGCTTTAAAACGTGTCACACGTCCTGATGAGTCCCTTTTTTGCTTGTAAACCCACTTGGATCCAATCGCCTGTCGTCCTGCTGGCAACGGTACGGGGACCAAGTGTTCATCGCCGACAGCGACTGATATTCTTCGTCCATAGCACGGACACACTTGTCCTTGTCCGAACCTTTCACGGCTTCGGTGTAACTGACCGGCTCCGCTACTGCAACTTGAGCTACTCCAACCACGAAATCTCCGTATCTACTCGGCATCGTTCCCAGATTACTACGCTGTGACCTCCTAGGCTCATTGCGAGGCTCATTGTTGTCTCGGAACAATTCTTCGAATTCGAAGTACTCTTCGTCTGAATCCGAAAAACCCTCAAAGTCAGGCTCATTGGCGATACTGCCCGCATCACTCTTTCCACCAGAAAAATCAATTTCGATCTCCTCGGCAACCTGCCGCTCCGGTGAATCATTCCTAGTCTTCGGCGGATCTCTTTCTTGGTTCGACTCGCGGAGTTTTGACTCCTCCTGAAGCTCTGGACCAAGCTCCACAAACCTAGCATCTCTATTGATCGTTATTCTGTTAGACCTCTTGTCCAGAAAACGATATGCCTTCGAACCACACGCATACCCGACGAAGGTTAGCTTCTCGGCTCTGCTCTGCATCTTCCCGCGCTTCGCGTCCGGAATATATACGAAAGCGTCACACCCGAATACCTTCAAGTGACTCAGGTCTGGCTTTTCGCCGTTCCACAGCTTGAACGGAGTTTTCTGTACCGAACGCGATGGCAGACGATTTTGCACGTATGCTGCCGCTGCAATCGCCTCACCCCAATAACGCTTCTCCATATTAGCGTCAAGGAGCATGCAGACAGCCATTTCCTGCAGATAGCGGTTACGGCGTTCTGCCACGCCGTTTTGCTGTGGTGCATATCCCGCCGTCAGCTGCATTTCAATGCCTTCATTCCGGTAAAAGCGCTTCAATTCCTTATTGACGAATTCACCGCCCCGGTCGGAGCGAATCACCCGAGGTTTTCTTCCGAACTTATTCTGCACCAGCCGTACAAAATCCTTGATACAGTCCTTCGCCTCCGCTTTGTCCTTCAGCAGGTAGAGCACCATGTACCTGCTGTAATCGTCAATTAGCGACATGAAGTATTTCTTACCGCCTGGAGTTACGTTTGACATAGGTCCACACAGATCCGTGTGTATAAGCTGCAACGGTTCTGTCGTCCTCCGTGCTGCTTGCTGCGGATATGGCAGTCGGGCCATCTTTCCCTCCATGCAGCACTCGCAAACGATCTTCGCTCCGCAATTGACCACTTTCATCCCCGTCACTAGCTGTTCCTTCTGCAGTCGGTCCATTACCGCAGGATCGCGATGGCCGAACCTGCGATGCCAAGTATGTTGGCAATTCACGGTGTGCTTATGAGTTACCACCAGCGTTGCACGCTCTTCCTCCTTAAGGACGTACAATCCTCCACACCGCTCACCTTGAACGACAACTTTGTTCGTTTTGCTCAGGACTTCGACGGTATCTTGCTTGAAAAGCACTTTATATCCGTTATCAGTGATTTTGCTTACGGATAACAGCCCGCTGTCCAGTTCCGGTACATACAACACCTTCTCCAGCTGGATGTCGACTGATCCTTTGGCGCCATTCCAAACTTTCACAGTTCCACAACCATGACCACCCGATCTCGTACAGACTCCGTTAGCCATTCTCACCGTCACACCAGGTAATTCCTCCAGTTCTTCGAAAAAAGCTTCCTTGTTAGCCATGTGACACGACGCACCACTGTCAATTGTCCACGACTTTCCCGGCTTCACTGCTGCACAGATGGCTTCATTGCATTGGTTTCACTCGCCGAAAAACAAATAGCTCCATCACTCGAATCCGTCGCCTGCTTAGCCTTCGCTTGTCGCTGGTTGCCCTTCGAAGGTTTGCTTCCGGATGCTCCCTGCGTTTCCGCGTTTTGAGCCTGCCACTTTCGGCAATCCCGTTTGCAGTGGCCTGGTTTCTTGCAAAAGAAACACACTACGTCCTTGCTCACCTTTTGCGTTTTCAGTACCCGCTCATCAGCGTCCGACTTTCCTGCACGTTCCTGTCTCTTCCGGTACTCATCCAGCAGCTTAGTCCTGATCAGATCCATGGTGATATCACCGTCGGGGCGAGCTTCCAAAGCCGATGCCAGAAAATGGTACAACTCTGGCATACTCCGAAGTACCATGGCGATTTTCAGTTTCTCCTCCAGCTTGAGACCAGCATCTTCCAGGCGCTCGAAGAGCGAATCCATATCCAGTAGATGTTTCTCTACGTTTCCCGATTCACTCAGCTTCGTTTCACACAGCCGGATCAATAACGATAGCTGCGACGTAATCGTAGCTTTTTCGTGATACGCTTTCAGCGCATCCCAAACCGCTTTTGCACTTGTGCAGTCCTTGATCAGGATGTATTGGCTTTGCTCAAGACACAAGCCAATCGTCGCTCTGGCCTTCCTATCCGCGCGTATCCACGCGTCCGTCAACGGATCCGGTCTGTCATCTGCCACGACATGCCACAGTTCCTCTCGTGTGAGGAACATTTCCATTTGGAAACGCCACGTCGCAAAGTTGCTGTTTCCAAGCTTACTGATGGCAAATTTTCCGGGATCTGCCATGCTCACAGCTATCGGATCGGTACAAGTATTTATGCGGTACACTGTACCTCATCCGCAAAACGCAAACAGCAGCCGAAACAAACTTTCGATACCGACCGCCGACCACGACGCAAAAACTTCCTTTTTCACCGATATTCGTCCCGATTTCACGATTCCCGAACTGGGCCCATAACCTATGGGAATTAGGTGGACGTTCCGAAGTGGAATTAACCGTGGGGAATTCGTAAACGCGTCAAAATAAAGTATAAATATCGGACTTGAAAAAACAACGTGTTTTTATTTCGCACTGTAACAAAAGGAATGAGGTTATACTTCAAAACACCGCCTGGCTGTCATTCTCTCTACTCGCCGTGTTGCCAATTTCTCTGATAGGGGTTCAGCTACTTCAGCGTCCCTGTTGTTCATTTTCCAACAATCCCTAGACGATTCGATCAGACAATGGTTCTCCGTTCTCCAGCGAACAGTATTCTCTCTTTTGTGTCAGCCAGGAACATCAAGTTGGTGAAAACCTTACCTTATTGTCCTGAGATGAATGACTTGGTCGAATGGTAGAACCAAGGGATTTTGAGGGCGCTACGTATTTCAAAAGCTCTTTAAAAAGATTAGAGTATGAGTCTCAATGAGTACATATACAGATTCCCCCCGAAGAACGCGTTACCCACCGAGTTCTACCCACCGCTTTGTCTCGATGGGTTTTCAGCCAAGCGCTCTAATTTTCTGCGAGTGATTAGTTCTCCATTGGAACTACTCACATGCAAAAAATCAGACCGACTGGTTGAAAGCACGCCGAGAAAAAGCGATGGGTGCAACTCAGTGGGTAACACGTTCTTCTGGGGATAGCTGTACATGTATAATACTAACCCCATTCGGTTACTGAGAAAACCCCTCTGAAGCTGCTAACTCTGAACGCCCGATTAAGGCCCTGTTGCCATCACTGAGTTGGTTTATACCCCGTACAGACTATGGCTTATATCATGTAATATAGGCTGTCTTGCAATGAGCACTCATACATCTAGTTTTCATTGGAAATCCTATGTATGAGTGCTCATTGTAAGACAGCCTATATTACATGATATAAGCCATAGTCTGTACGGGGTATTACGAGAGACAGCTGAAAAGAGTGAAGTCCCAAACGCAATGTGGGCGGAAGCGGAACGCAAACGGAAAGTTTTATCAACAATCAATACGAAACTAACGATTTTATATTGGCTCACTACTTGACTAGCCTATTGGTCCCAAGCAAATCGACTAACGTACCCCATTGTAGTTAAAATTCCAGTACTACACTATGTTTGTTTTGATTCGCTATGAAAGTTTGACAGATAAAATGAGGGGTTAGTGGATTTTCCTATGTTTCGAGGGGTGCATGGATTAGCTTGGGACCGAAGATAGTACCAGAGCTGAGCCAAAAAGTTGGGCTCATTTCATCGGGACCTCTATGGTTTTATCAGTTGTCCCAAATTACATCAAGATGTTCAATCGAAATCGATTTGGTTCTAACTGGCTTTCAATCCGACAAGTAGGCTTACTCAGATCGGGCTTTTCCGCTGCCACTGCCGTTCCGCTTCTGATCTCATTGCTCTTGGGCCTTAAGGTTCTATTTACTTTCGTGCATTTTCGATAAACTCAAATGCTGTTTTTTTTTTCGACGCATCATTTCAGATTGCAAAAAACTCGCGTCATTCTACTCGTTTTGCTATTATAAACAAACTGATGCGAGCTTTTTGCAATCTGAAATGATGCGTCGAAAAAAACTGCATTTGAAATTTTCGAAAATGCATCAAAGTAAATTGAACCTTAAGAAGGTGAGCTCACGAAGGCAATATCGAAGACATCATATAAAGAAGACTGGCAAATTTGCCAGAATCCAAGCGACAGATACAATAGCGCTGCGCTTGAGTGAAGCTGGAAGCAACGAATTGAAAAATTAGCAAATACACAAACCCTTCATCTGAGGATGTAATTTTAGCTATCAAATTCGTTCGAAGCATTTACCTTTGAGCGTCAGATGACGCGGTTGCACCTCTTTCATAGCGTTCGTATGAGAAAATGGAAGAGTTGCCAGTCTTCTTGATTTGTTGTTTTCGGCAATATGTATGGTGAATTATAAACGGAAGTCAGATAAAATATACCATTGGAGACAAATAAACTTATTTGGTGTTTTCAATAAAGGATAGATACTGCAATAACCCGCTGAATATGTTTTATCTAAACAAGTGGAATACATAATCTGCAAGATTTAAATAAATACCTCTGTTTCTGATTCCCGACCCGATAGTCTTTTTCCCGACCCATTTTTTTTCACAAATGGACTTTCTCAAAAGAAACACCAGGGTTGTCAGATTTTATTTAAACTCAACTATTTATTTACGAATAAAATCACTGTACAATTCACGCCAAGTTCGAAACGATTTTGCGCGAAAAAGCTACGCACGAACTTACGGATAGTTAAAATAATCTTACACAGAAAATATCAATAAATACCAGCTAACATTAAATGCTTCACAAAATTTGCTACGGACAATCTACAGTAACGCTACCAACATGTTTCCGATCCTATAAACGTACTCTAAGTGAAAATGCAGTCTACGTTGTGTGTGATTTCTAGATACTCACACGGCTATAACAACTTGATTTTGCCATTTGTCTTCCCTACAAACCCACTGGTAAGCCCAATTTTTAAAGATAATTTCTCTGCATCGGACCGAGGGATGGTTTAAAAATTGGGCTTATTCTACAGTGCTGCCAGATTTTTTTATACGTTCTCGAAAGCCTCGAATGGATTCTACACCTTACGATCTAAGTATTTGTTTTGTCTAGCTTCTTAAATTTACACAGCATACTGTAGCGCTCATTGTCTATAGTAATTGATTCGTTGATTGTTGCATTTCTTAGGGGGAGATATTCTATTTTCTTTGACCTAAAATTTTGGATCACGGTGGAGTGCCTACTTTTCGGTTTATCGGGAGGAAAGCAGACGAATTCTATTGAACGATCGCCCGACCGGAGTAGCCTTTCACGTTGAGCTCGTCGATTGAGGACTTCTTTCCGTTGCCCTGCAATCGCGAAGCCAATCCACAGGTCTGTAAAGTTTTAAGGGTGGTCGAGTTAGGTTCAGAGGAAATATTTACGGGAGGATTTAAATACTCACAATAATAGTCGACAGCGCTAGTAGTCCGGCCAACAGTCCGGAGATCATGACAAAGTTTTTGCACTGATCAGGAACTTCCTTGTACCTCAGATCATCGTACTGTCCAGGCATGATCACGGTGTACTCGATGTTTTCCTTGAACTTGGTAAACTCGGTTGTGTTCAAAGTACCCGAAGCTCTGCGATGTCGGTCGTGTCCGATCATCGATAGAAGATTACCGTAGGCTACCTCTCCCACGGAGCGGCGACGTCTTCCGAGACCTTGAAATAAGTTTTTGTCAGAGATATATAATGGTTTTGAGAATCGTTTTGTAGTACCCTTTCGCTTGGTTGGTTCGTAAAGATCCAAGCAGAAATCAGGTTGGCAATCCATCGCGTCCATGCAGGCCTTGATCTGCGAGTGAATCCACAGGGTGCTACGTTCCTTCATTGAGCTCAGCAGGAAGGCTTCAAAGTCCAGGAATACTTCATTGGGTTTGTCGCGGTAGCGTGCTGGTTGGTGGGGAATGATCGAAGCAAAGTCCCTATTGCGACACCCGTCACGGACCAACGAAACCGATCCGGCGGCATGTGGATCATCCGGATCTGGCGAAACGGTAACTTCCAACAGTTTGACATACTTCCAGACGCTTTGAGCGCTGATGCGGGCTCGCAGTTGAAGCTTCGTGCCGATGGGGACGGCCTGATCGACCGGAACTTCGTTGTTGGTGATCGCCGGTAGAGAGTTGGAAGAGTGATTCTTCATGCCGGCAATGCGGGCGATCGGCGGGGCTTCCTTGTATAGGGCTACCTCGTACTCGAGACGGCCGGGAGTTTCTTCGACAACACCGGAGACACGGGCTCCGTGGGGGCTAGGCAGATGATGTATAGAACAGTTATTTTCAGTATTATCAAGGTGAGAGGGACCGATAAGGTCATTTCACCGAACATACATTTGAACGAGTCCTGTTAGCAAATGAAAACCGTTCTACCCTCCAGTGTTTATAAACTAAGATAGATGTAAGAAAATGCACACTTTTAGCTTAGCAGATCGATGAGATTTAGAAAATTATGTTAATTGATTTAAAATCATAGGATTATGAAAAAAATCCAGGTCGAAGATTTGTAAAATCCAATTGATATTGTATATTTTTCAAGAAGCGGGATCTTTAAAAAATGACCTAGTCCCAGATTTTGAACACTTTTCTATATGTTGGTGTCTAAAAATACATTATGCAAAAAAAATCAAAACCAATTGGACACTTTTTCAATTTAAGGGAGCATAAGAAATTGACAATTACCAGAATTTTAGAACGTAAAAAAAGTCCACAAGGCTGCCATTTAGGAATCTACATATCTAAATATTTTACAGAACTTTGTAAAATTTTACCGAAATCTCAACAGCTGAACGTTCGGTAAAAAGTTTCGCAGATTTACTGTAATTTTTTACAAATATCTGTGAATTTTTCACAGATATCTGTAAATAATTATAGGAAAACTGTAAAATTGTTTTCCGAACGTTCAGCTGTTGAGATTTCGGTAAAATTTTACAGAAATCTGTAAAATAATCTTAGTGTGTAGTAGTGTTCAAAAATTGGAAATCTGTTTTCAAGTATTGGGCCAAACGACACATACGGCTAAACGGCTTTCAGATCAATGGCCGAACACCACCATGGTATGGATTTATGGTGACTGCCGTCAATTATTTAATGTTTTTACAATTGAATTTGATAATTGAGAGTATTTGTGGCATTAATTTCATTGCTAATGTCGAATGTCGAAATAAGTTCTTCTAATAAACAAATAAATCTCTTAAACAACTCGAGTAAATGAAAGTGAAAAAAGTAGTTTTCAATTTGCGTAAATGTAATTCAGCATTATGAAGAAAAGACCTACCCTTCTTCTTCTTCGCATTTAAAGCTTATTGTTTATCGCGTATTAGTTTATTGCGTGCTCTAAGCTTAATGTTCTAGATGCACTTCCACAGTTATTAATAGAGATTTTTTTTGCGTTAGTATAATTGTGTGGCAAGTACAATCATACCATAGAGATAACTCTAGACCAGAAGGTCCCGAAGAAACGTGCTCAACTTTTTGGCTCAGCTCTGGTATTCTCTTCGGTCCCAAGCTAATCGATGCACCCCTCGAAACATAGGAAAATCCACGAGCCCCTCATTTTATCTGTCAAACTTTCATAGCGAATCAAATCAAACATAGTGTAGTATTAGAATTTCGACTGGAATGGGGTGCGTTAATCGATTTGCTTGGGACCAATAGGCTAGTCAAGTAGTGAGCCAATTTAAAATCGTTAGTTTCTACCGGTTGATCATGCTCTATACCCAGAGAAGTCGACAAATATTTCAAACCGAAAAAATCCAAGACCGGACCGGGAATCGAACCCAGCCACCTCCAGCATGGTCTGCGCCTTTACCGACTGAGTTACCTAAGGGAGGCCCCAAACAATATCGGTGCTGCAAAGACCGATTCTTTGGTACCGATTTAATCGATGGATCGATACCAGTGCCCCATATAAAATCGATCCGTCGAGATCGATCTTTCCCTGAAGATCACCCAATCCTAGTTTCCCTTGAAGATGCGACCTTTAGCTCAAATGAGCGACCAAAGCAGTTTTGTGAATATTGCCGTGTATGGTCGAAATTTTACCCCACTGATTGATTCATACTCAGAATGTATGTATGTATTATCGTGTTCGGTATTTTTTTACCAACATTTCAACAAAACTTTCAATTGAAATATGACCTTTATTGTATAGCCTATTTTGCTCAAAACTAATTTCAAACACATTCAATTTTGTTCAAATGATCAAATCTTGTAATGGACCACTTCTTCAAGCAGTTTTATCATGACTTTCTGCCAGCGATTTCACCAAACTAAACCAACAAATTACTATTTCATTATGAAATGCACCACTTTTGGCTACTTTTCTCGTGGTTCTAGAAGAAAAAAACCCTAAAATATTGTTTTATTTCGAAGTTCGTCATTTACAACTGCTCGAATGAAATGGTTTATTCTAGTTGGAATTTCGGTTTAAAGTAGCTTTAGAGCAATTAAATAAAATTGCCCAATTTAACGGAACAGTTCAGCTGTTGAGATTTCTGTAAAATTTACCGAATTTGGTGATAATTTCTAAGTGTGTAAGGTTTAAAAAGCATACGTTTGAAATTGTTTCAGGTCCCTATAACTGCAGCAGATTCGATACCGATAATATTTTTTTCATTGCTGAATCAAAGTCATGCGATGCTAACGCAAAAAATGTGATTGCCGTTTACTCTGTTGAATAATCAATCACAACAGAGCTGCTTGTTTGCAACATGTTCTCCTTGCGGGTCTTTTATTTGTTAGCAAGTGAATGTAAACATACAATCAAATTGGTAGTATGTCAAGCAGAAATAATCCCATAGAAGTGCGGATTCCGAGGGCGGCGACCCTATCTAGGATGAAGGATAATAAAATGCTGAAATACATTCATTTGAAATACTAAACAAATTTTCATTTGGTTTACCCCTCGTGACGATAAACAAATACATTGGTAGCCACTGACGAGTGCACGGATGGATTTGAGTTCACTTACTCGACAAAAAGTGACACAACAGCGGGGCCCTGTTTACTAAAAATTAACACATGAATAATGCTCGCATAACATTTGAAAATGGATTATCAATTTTCCTAAACAACTTGCAAGGTCCATTTCACGAGAACCGAAGTATGCTTACGTAAACCAAGAGCACTATCGGGAAGGGGAGAATTTCTCCTACCCGATGGTGTTGTTAGTTTGCGTGGGCGTATTCGGTTCGCGCGAAAAAGGCTTAATAAATGTTGTGTACAAAAGTTGATAGGCCTGTTTCAAATGTTACGCGAGTATTATTCATGTGTTCATTTTTAGTAAACAGGGCCCCGCTGTTGTGTCACTTTTTGTCGAGTGAGTGAAGTCAAATCCGTCCGTGCACTCGTCTACAGAGGTGCTTTCATCGCAAAAATTCGGTTCGCCAGCTAAGCGAAAAAATGGATCATATTGTCAATATAATATATTTGACTGCACTATTCAATCCATTTGTTGCTCTGTCCAGACCATTTGTACCAAACGGTAAAGGACGAGGCAATGAAGCAGCTAGCTAACAAAAGCATCCAGTCACTCACGAACTGGCGACTCAAACCGCTTGCCTTCGCTCACACAGCATAGACGAGTGCACGGATGGATTTGAGTTCACTCACACGACAAAAAGTTACACAACTGACGAGTGCACGGATGGATTTGAGTTCACTTACTCGACAAAAAGTGACACAACAGCGGGGCCCTGTTTACTAAAAATGAACACATATGTGGTCATTTTTAGTAAACAGGGCCCCGCTGTTGTGTCACTTTTTGTCGAGTGAGTGAACTCAAATCCATCCGTGCACTCGTCTATGTAATTTAGGCATTTTTCCATAAACAAAATTTAAGCTCAGTCATTCAAAACAAGGATTGGGTATACACTGAGCGAATTTACCATGTCGACATTGCATGATTAATCATTCAGAGCTATCCGATTTCATTAACATCGAAAATAATATGAGATATCCGATTGACTAATAATTGACATTAAGGCTGTGAACCATTTGCCGAGTTAAATTTAACTCGTGGTTAAAAGTGACATTTCGAAAGTTATTTTCTATGTTCGAAAATCCCCGTGCTGTCGATCGACCGGTTTTCGAGCCACGGTTGTCAAAATTTAACTTCTTGTCTGTCAGAAATAACCATGCTCGGATAGCAGGGTTAATCAATAACTTTCCATCTGTCAAATTTTAACCAAAAGTTAAAAAATTCGCCAAATGGTTCAGAGCCTAAATGGGATGATTCATCATACATATCTTAAAAGGAAATAACATCAACCACTTAATGAAGTGCCGTTCAAATTTTGAAAGGTATTAACAATAAATGAATTCAAGAACAGAAATGAACTAAAATCATCCAAGTGAACCCCATAACGAAAACCATACAACAACTATCATGCGATTCATTTTCATATCGTTTCAGTCTCCCATTGCGTTTTGGCCTTGCCATTTTTTCGCAGCTTGTTTTCGCAGCTCTCTCGAATAGCAGTACACAGTTTTTTCGCATACCACGGGGAGTGTCACCAAAACGCGAACGAGAAAAAGATTTTCGGATTCATGTGGCAAAAAAATATTTACTCGTTCCGTTCCCGTTTGATTCGAATGCTTCAGTGCCCGTGGATTGTTTGCGATCCAGCCCCCCCCCTCGAGGAGGTGGTCAGCGACTTTGAGGAAAGCAAGTACCAGAACGCCGAACTGCCTCTATCGTACTACGGCAAGTCGCCGAACGAGTGGAGTTTTACAAACTGGCCAAGTGGCCATCGACTGAAACGTGTAATCAAAACAACATCCGCTGGTTGATTCAAATTCCCAGACTTCAGTAAGTTACTGGGAGGGAGGTCCTTTGTTTCAAGCAATACGATTCTAACAAAACAAATTTATCTTCCAGCGATATCTTCAAGACCAACCAGCTGATGAGCTCATTCCAGCAGATTTTGGACAACATTTTCAAACTGCTTTTCGAGGCCACAAACAAACGATTCCGTGGATGACGAGTCCAGTGCAGCATTGAGTGTGGTTGTTTTATCATAAATGAATCAAACAATTGTTCAACTTATAAAACAGAAGCGTTTCATTTACAACATTAATTCTCGCGTCATTTTTCAAATCGACCAATGTAACAAATGTAAACAAACCGAGTTAAGCGATACAAACTGTTGCTCTTCTATCATTGTATGTCATACAAAAACATCCATCCAAATTCACTTTCATTTATTTAAGATAATCATAGGTAAAAAATTGTCCAATGTACAGTTTGAAATGATGGGTATATGATTGTTACTTCGGTCATTCGGACTGCCTGACATGATTGGTGCTCATTTTTCAAAGGCGGGGCCAATCTAAAGTTAGGTACTATACTCTGAAATCTGTGAAAGAGAATCTAGTATCATGTAGACAAAACGTCCAATGTAACACTCATTGATTATGTCATTGAGAAAAATCGTCCAATGTAACATGTCCGATGTACAACTCTACTTGTCAAAACGTCCTATGTGGTTTTTTCTATGTTGTAGCATGAAATTCAAAGTAAAATTGTGATTTTACCGTTTCTTCTGAATTTTCAACTTTATTATACACTGGCTACATTAAAAATAGTATTGCAAAATGTTTTGTTTTTAAACAGTTAAATTAATAATCTGTCGAACTTCAACTTCGATTTTCTCAAAATGGTGGATATGTTACATTGGTCTATTTGAAAAGTGACGCGAGAATTTACAGTTCCAACGATTTAGAAGAGATATATTTCGTTATGATCACAATTTTTAAACTGTAAAATAAGCTTTCTTCTTCCATATATTTTTCATTCAGATTGCTCTTATATTTCATTTAAACATAGCATGACAATTTATTTTGAAACTGTTTTTGACGAGTCCGTATCTTTCTCAATGTTAATCATACGGTTTGTTCATTACAAGTCTTCCTAAGAATGGATGATAATCATGCTGATTTAGAACTAATGGTTTACAGCGTGCAGAATGAAAATCATCTTGTTTTAGAATTAATGCTATTCAGTTCTTCTGTGCTTTGAGAGCTGAATCGGAGAATGATAATCTTTCACAAATAGAAAAATAATCCGTATGGGGCTCAAGTGAAGCAATAATCATACAATGATGTATGGACAATTTGGTTCAGTGTATCCATCACGGAAGAATAAACTATAGTCGCTATATTCATAGTCTGGCGGATAGAATCTCGAGAACCAATATGGTGATCCAAGAGACGTTTCTCAGTGGAACTGACAGCTAGAAATCAAGTGTGTGTGTGTGTGTGTGTGTGTGTGATCTGGTGTTAATGATGCTGAATGTAAACATAAACAAAGCAGAAATTTATATGAGAGTGAACTGTCAGTTCTACTGTGATCTGTTCGAGGGGGGCGACACATCTAAATCTCAATTCTAGATGCTCAACAAATCTCACACTAGCCAATAAATCTTTGAAAAATCTTCTTTCATTTCTCGCATCTACTTGCATCGCGCATCATCTTTTTGCAGGAAATCTTCTTTCTATCTACTTAGCGTACGCGCAGCAAAACACAATATTTCCTCGTAGATAGAGTTCTTGGTAAACAAAAAAGTCAGCTGATCGCAACTGTCTCGTGGACAGCCTTATTGAGCTGTCAAATAGCAGAACAAATCTAGAAAATCACGACCAACAACAGAAAAGAGCAAATCAGCTATTGCGAACAAAACTTCGGAAATCCTTTTCTCGTGCCTCAAGGATCGCCTACGCGAACATCTTTGGGTTGGGGAAAGTTTCCCCTATCCGATGATGCTGGTAATTTGAATTCGATTGGCGAGGAAAGAATAATCAACGTTTTGCTTATTGAATTTGATAGTACGTTCACCGACAAACCGACATGAATGACCATAGCAAAATCAATAAAATTTCTGACCAAAGCACACTACTGACATCTGGGTCCGTTTTCGCGGGAAATATTTAGCTAAGCAATTGAAAAGGTACCACCGACAGACCGACATGACACTTAATTCTAACTTATGCCTGAAAATCGTAAACGACCGATTTAAAGTGATCTTAACCCTCAAAACCATAGGATTTTTTGATCTAGATAAAAATAATTTGTTCAAAATAGATCATACACGAACCAATTCATGCAAATTTATGAATTGGTTCGTGTCTGATCTATTCTGAACAAATTGTTTTTTATCAAAATTACGATTTTCGGGCATAAGTCAGAATTGAGTGTCATGTCGGTTTGTCGGTGGTACCTTTTCAATTGTTGGTGTACAATATATTGAATTAATCATGTTTTATTGTTTTTGACATCATCCACATCCAGAGGGCCAGTCACTTCGAATGTATGGGAATGGTAGGAAACCATTTGGAAATGCATGAACATTTTCAGTTTTTATTCATTATCGTCTTTATGGACAGTTTTAGATGCACAAAAATTGCCCGAGAACATTACTATGGTGATAAGGTAAACACTCGTTTATTTGTTTCCTTTTGTGAAAGCATGTTTAGTCACAAATCGTGGATTTTCTGATATTCTCCATAATGCAAAAATAATTTTCCTACCACTGAAGGGGCGACATCTCTCGGATCGTCAGTGTAGCTACTACTCAAATCATATAATTAATTGGTTCCACTTTTTGATAGATCGAAATTCTATCCGCCAGACTATAAATATAGCGACTATAGAATAAACGTGCTGACTGAGCTACTGACTGAGTGCTTGGCTGTCAGTGACTCGTTTACCTCTCAATCATTCCAACTCTCACGAGGCAGTGAGTGATGAGGCAGATGGCAGTTAACATTCATATGAAAATGACTCATTGAACCTGACTGTACTGGTAGATAGAAAGAAGATTTTTAAGATTTCTTGCAAAAAGATGGATAGCGATTCAAAAGATGAAAAAATGTGTTCACTAGTATGAGATTTTTAGATCATCAAAATTTTTGATTTACATGTGTTGCACCCCAAATAATATCCGCAAGTAGAATCATGATGATAGAACTAAAATGTTGGATATAGGTACCTATTTTGACTATCGTTCAGAAAAATGGGTCAACCACAAACTTCCTGCGCTTGTGGGTAGTATTTGCACCGATAAACCGACATGAATGATCATACAAATTACAAAGAAATTTCTGATCAAAGCACAAAACTAACATCTGCCGCCGTGTTCGCGGAACATATTTATCCTAGCCACAAACACGCGTACACAATTTATGAGTTGTCTAATCTATTTCGGACAAATTAATTTTATCTAGATAAAACATTTCTATGGTTCCGGCAGATCGGATCGCTGCACATTTGAATCGGCCGATTCTCGATCAAGAGTCATTTGTGTGTGTATTTGTGTGCGTAATAATCACGATGTGAATAAATTCACAATATTGTAGAACTGGCAATATGAGATTGCTCGACTAAGTATGGAGATTTTTTGTTATATGGCTTTCTCAGTTTAGGGTACTCCAAACGGTCAGTTATGCATTGCCCGACGTTTTGGCCGTTTATTGTGGCCTTTTTCAAGGGTAAAACAGTCTACCGTGTGTCACTAAAATTTTGTTTGTTACCACGATAAGCTTGGAGAAAGCCATATAGAAGAAAACTGGAAATATGTATTGCCAAGTTACGAGCCAAATTGGAGGAGATTTTCCAATTTCGTATAAGTAATGGTTTCAAAATTAATCATCTCCAATGTGGTACAGAGCATCCGGATAAACTAATTAGATCTAGTTTTTTAGGTTGAATACCGCCATTAAATAGTGCAAAATTTGTCCAAACTATAGCGATTTTCAGAGTATCAGGATAGGTTGTTTTGTCTCAAACGGTGTAAAGTAACATTTACTGTAAAATCATGTACGTCCCTACCGGGTACTGAGATCTGAGCGTGCGCACTTTTACTTCCATCGTTCGCTAAACCTTTCAACGTCAGCCCCCTGTTTTTAAAAAGAATTCCCAGCTCGCCGAAATGACCTTCGGTGAAACGGCTCCATCTGTAAACTTACAAACTGCCGGCAAATCCAGCGGCCTTATTCTGAATAACGGTGGGCTCCGGAGGTTTGCACATGATGATCAGCTCCTGGTCGGACTGCATCACAACTGACGGGAACTGTGGGAACCAGATTCGTACGTGGACGAAACCCTAAAAAAAAAAATACAAATCCAAGCGAAACATTTCAGTAGTAAGCGATAAATCATAACGTTTAAGCACATGATCGTAAAAAAAAACCAAAAACCATAAGCACCCATCCCGGCAACAAAAAAAACCAAGAACCGTCACACGACCGAATTACGGAATATAGGCCACCTGACACAGCCACAGACACTCTACACACTGCACGCGGTGACAAAATTCTTACATTCCTCTTCAGCACGCCGCACCGTGAGAAGTCGGTGATCTTGAGGTCGAAGCTTAGCTCGCTGGCGTCTTTCCGGTCCTGCTTGATGGAACATGCGAAATCGCCCTCCGGATTGACGGCACGGTCGTCCGCGAATAGTGGTGCACCCTTGAAGCCGATCGGTTTCTTCAGCTTGGCCGTTATGATGTCACCCAGGTTGGACCCCTGGGACGCAAACGAGCACTGGATGTCAGTCACTGGAACGAAACGCACCCGGTCGAGTGGAAACCGGGAACAGAAAAAAAAAACAGACAGAGAAACGCACACGGTCGGTGCAGTGCGGTGTGTTAATTGAGTCTATATGGAGCCATTATAAAATTTAAATAAACAGGCTATAAATTTAACGTGTTTTTTTGTTTTCCTGCCCCTGGAGGTTGTTAAAATATTAGGAAGTCTGTGGTGAAATTTTGCGGCTGTGGCTTACCGTCGTAGTCTTGCGCTCGGATCAGTGGAAGAAGCTGTGGAAAAAGCAAACATGGAAATGATGATCAGCTCAGTGATTGGGAGGGTAAAACTCAAATTAATTTGCTTAAATAATAGTATAATGATGCAATTATCGGATTGGGAAAATCGTTCCTTCTAATAAAGGAGGAACAGAAGAGTTTTTAACCTGCAGAGCAGCCGGGGTGGCCTACTCCACAGCGGTTAATTATTTGTGTATGGATGATATTGAGCTAGATTCCAGACGGTTCAAGATCAGTATTGTTACGTTTGGTGTGGGGATGCTCATTTTTTTTTTTCATGGAATGATAATAAGTTATAGATTTATTTTCATAAACGAAACTTCCTGGTTGTTACGTCCCAATGTGAAATTTCTCATATTCTCACTCACTGATAAAATCGCTGATTGTGACTATCTGAAAGCGAAATTGTTAGCATAGTAAGCGTCGATCTATTGAGCGAATCAGAGAATAATTTTCGGTTTGCCCTTCAACCTGATCAGTCGACGACGCGCTGCTATCAGGTTATGAGCCCAGCCGAACTAGATCTCTATATAATAACGGCTAGTTTAAAAAGTCGAAAACAGTTTTTTCACTCCAAGATTTTTTCGAAATCGTGATAGATGAAATATCCCAAGAAGGAAGGAGTCGTACCAGGTGCTCCGGCGGCTACAACGGAAATAGGCATCCAGATCGAAACGGAAACGATCGTAACGGAGCATTAAACAGAAGAGGTAGTGGGAATCGAGCCGGTAGCAGAAGTCAATCTGGAAGCGGACACGCAGGTAGCATTCCGAAACTTCCAGGCGGTGCACAGTGGGGAAAAATCGACCCCAAATCCCACTTAATTAGACGGCGCACGGTAGGAGTCCTGCAAAATAGCCTATGTGAAAAAATCGGAGAATCGATTGGTGATGGTCCCGTGTAGGGTTGACTTCGAGAAGTGGTCCGTTTTGCCCGATTTACCCCTAATTTTGGAAGAAAATTATAATTATCATCCAGAAACTGAACTTGGTGCGCTTAGATTGATCCAATGTGAACTGTATCCTTGTAAAAAGAGCTGGGGAGTTGAATAGAGCTAGTTTTACCATAGAGGTAACTCTAAGACTAGAAGGTCCCGAAATAACGTGCTCAACTTTTTGGCACAGCTCTGGTACTCTCTTCGGTCCCTAGCTTATCGATTCACCCCTCGAAACATAAGAAAAACCAATAACCCCTCATTTTATCTGTCAAACTTTCATAGCGAATCAAAACAAACATTGCGTAGTACTAGAATTTTGACTAGAATGGGGTACGTTAATCGTTTGCTTGCGACCAATAGGCTAGTCAAGTAGTGAGCCAATTTAAAATCGTTAGTTTTAGTTAGTTTAGTTAGTTAAATTTTACCTGATTTCCCCTTTGCCTATAAAAACAAGATTAAACACTTGGAAAGCAGAATTTGACGGAAAAAATATTGAACTTTATGCACTTAACCATTGTATTATTATCAAAGGAATCACCAATTTCACCTTATATTCCCCTCAAACTTGAACAAACTCATATATCATGTTTTTTTTATAGATTAGCGTCATTAATATTACACGCACTTGCACTTTACTTATGTAAAAATGTTCGGAAAATCAAAACTAGCTCCATTCAAATCCCCAGCTCTTTTTACAAGGATAAAGTTCACGTTGGCTCAATCTAAGCGCACCAAGCTCAGTTTCTGGATGATAATTATATGTTTCTTCCAAAATTCCACCCTTAGAAATAACTACTTTTACACCAGATGTAATCCATATTGGACGTAAATCATGGAACGTAAACAAACATTTCATGTAAAATTAAGTGTTCTCAAACCGAAACATAAGCAAATCGACGAAGAGATCGTTTTCTTGAATTGAATTTTCTCGTTTCTTTCAACAGATTCTTATGTCAAAAGAGCCGCTTACATGTGTAGGTCTCAGGAAACCGAAATTTTCAATACTTTTCCATAGTGTGTAGGGGTAAATCGGGCAAAACGGACCACTTCTCGAAGTCAACCCTAAACGGGACCATCACCAATCGATTATCCGATTTTTTCACATAAGATAGGCTATTTTGCAGGACTCCTACCGTGCACCGTCTAACTAAGTGGGATTTGGGGTGGATTTTCCCCACTGTGCGGTGGTTTGTCCTTGCTACCGGTGGATAAATTGAAAGGCCGTGAAAATTACCTTTCATGGGCATTTGCTATGCGAATGATATTGATCCGTGAACGCACGTGACGTGCCGTAAACCCACCGAAAGACAGTCAACGCGGATCTTTCGGAGCGAGCCCTGGCAGCGATTTGACTTAGTATCGAACCCAAGGGGTATTCAACTCTGCACACCTTAATCCGTGCCGAGGGATTGAGCTGTGCCAGAAGCTGAGCCAAGCGCTGTGCCTATCAATGTATCCATCAAAATGTGTCAATATTCCATGGGTTTGGCAACCCTGACAGTTATTACTTTTTTACTGTGTGTTCTGAAAAACTCAAAAACTCAAATCTCATGCGTGAGTTTATTCACCTAGGAGTTTTGCCTTGCAAAATTTATCTGCGCAAAAATCACCAATGAGTTTTCAGGTTCAAACATGTTGTTTTTGCATGGAAAACTAACACAACATGCATACACATGATATCAGCTGACCTTTGAGTAGTTTTTATTAGTTTTAAGCTGGAATGATTTGTTGACGTTGTGAGTGTGGGTGCGTGGAAATGTATGAGAATCTCAAGCATGAGATTTGTCTGCCAGATTCGCATGTGAGTTTATTCTCTCAGAGAGGCTCAATGAATGAGATTTGGGAATGATGTTCCGAACACTGATTGTGTTTACATTCTCAATTTCTCTGATGGATCAAGGCAAGCATTCAGCTTCCCTTCATTCTCATTAGAGCGTTTGCGGTTCGGGAGGTGGAAGACGAAGCTGAAGTCGGTGTTCAACCCGTCCACCAGATTCCGGCTCGATGTTCCTTTGCACTGCTGATTCCTTGCAGATGTACTGAAACGAAGGCGTAACCCGATCGATGATGGATGAAATTGCATTCTGCCCCTGTCAAATTCTTTCCCACTAAAGTAACATAGAATTTGAACAGGCGAGAATTCAATTCCACCGTATGAGTAACACCCTCGAGCCAGTTTTAAATAAAGCCTCAAACCAATTTTTCAGTAATAAGCAAGGAGTTACAGTTGACCGATCGGTAGGCCACCCACCACAATGGGGTCTTTTGATACGAGCTAGTCCAACAGAAGGATGATGGCTGAGATGCAGCTGTAAAATCATCGGATTTGGTGACGGGGATGTGCTTGATGTCATTTACGTCTAGTCACTTATATACAACTTATTTATACCGAAATGAGCGCAAGAGGTGGGATCTATACATAACATATGCTTGACTTTCGCAACTTATTTATGACTATAACGCAACCTACTGTATTGGACATGTTGTAAATTAATTTCATCCTTCCTACGAATGGAATAAGTTTATCATCAATTTACAGAACTTATTCTTCTGATGGATTTTATCGTGCGAATAAAGTGCCTAAACTGAGATTCCGTACTGAAAACAGTTATGCCGTCGCAAATTTATGGTAAATCTATACATTCTACTTCTAAAAAACTCATTGGCTCTTAGAAAAAGCTTAAAATAATAAATTGAATTGCATAAAAATCCTGGATAAAATTCCCCAACTTTGCAAAAAAAACAAAAACAAATAGAATATCAACTTTTGTTTTTAATTATCTTACTTTTCTCTTTTACAAAACGTACATGTGATGTTGAAAGCACAAATTAATTTTTTTTTTCATTCTATACATTGCTTCATTGGTCAGTCATATTGTAGTGCAGTTTGTAGAATGCATTGAGAAATTTCATAATTGTTATCAAAACATGATTATAACACAAAAAACAAGAACATTACTTGTATCGTATATTGAAGTTATAATTAGGTATGGCAACTCTCAATTGCCTATTTATAACACTTTTATAACTGATTGTTTTTGATGAAAACTTGCTAGCCTTATATACAACATGTTTTCATATGTCATTTTTGGAAAAATGAGTATAACTGAAATATAACTTATTAATAACATGTTATCAATAAGTTATATCTCAGATGTATTCATGTTTCTAATACTGACATATGAAGACATGTTGTACATAAGGCTAGCCAGTTTTCACAAAATACAATCAGTTATAAATGTGTTATAAACTGGTAACTGAGACATGCAATATCGAATTATAACTTCAAGATAACAAGTGCTTGTCAGAAAGGTTGAATACTTCACAAACAACAATACAACGCGTCTAAAACAGGATGTTTTAAAAACAATTAATATATATATTTTTTTTTAATACCCTGGACAGACTATGGCTTATATCATGTAATATAGACTGGCTTGCAATGAGCACTCATACATCTAGTTTTCACTGGAAATCCAATATATGAGTGTTCATTGCAAGCCAGCCTATATTACATGATATAAGCCATAGTCTGTCCGGGGTATAAAACTGTTTTTTTTTTTATTTTTCATGCAAGATGTTGCAAGTGTTACTTGGGTCGCTACCCACCGGTGGGCCACGGGTTGCTCTTAGGTGGGTTATGAAAATTCTGATAAATAGGTCAAGAGTAAAGCTTCCATCCAAGGATTGTGACATTTCCCGTGATTTCCGAATCCCGGGAAATAAATTTATAAATCCCGGGATCGCAAGTATCCCGGGATTTTTCAATTTGAGACTCCATTACTACCCATAATCGCATATCAGTCCCATATGGATAGGAAATCAAGCAAATATGGGACTGATATGCGATTATGGGCAGATTACCCCTTTAAATCTTTCTTGGAATATCTGTAGCAGAATTTGAATCCAGAACTTTCCCATCTTATGAAATATATTTCTTCCCTTCGTTCGCCATTCATTCTAATTTTTCGAAAGAATTGCACACAAACATCACTTTTTGTATATGACCGTTGTACAACAAAATCTAGCAGTGAAACCAACCGTGAACATTTTGACT